CAATGGACAGGTTGTTCTGCAACAGCATCATCACACAGATTCAATTACTCTCAGACAACCGTAAAAGTTGCCATCGAAGGGTGACCCAAAATGTGGCTTGTGGGTTTCAAAACGGTGTGTGTCATGCAATAAGAAAGAAAATGCCAGCTGCTAAATTGCAAATCTCGAATGTTGTGGATATTATTTTATTGTTGTGCATGTAGACATATGTATATATATATATATATATATATATATATATATATATATATATATATATATATATATATATATATATATATATATATATACATATATATATATATATATATATATATATATATATATATATATATATATATATATGTATATATATATGTATATATAATATATATATATATATATATATATATATATATATATATATATATATATTTGTATATATATATTTGTATATATATATTTGTATATATATATTTGTATATATATATATATATATATATATATATATATATATATATATATATATATATATATATATATATATACTGCATATATATACATATATGTATATACATGTATGTATATATATGTATATATATATATATATATATATATATATATATATATATATATATATATATATATATATATATATATATATATATATATATATATATACGCATTCATTCTTTAGAAGAAAAATAATAATGTTATTTTCTACAAGTCTATTATCTAGGAAAAAAACGAAAGCATCGGTAGGTCTTAACCCGAGAGACAATTCCAACCTCTACAATAAAAGCAACAACAACAACAACAACTACTACTGCTACAAGAAAAAAACAACTACTAGGCAACGACGTATAAATAAAACGTCATAAATACAGATTAGTAGAAACGCGAGATGAAAAATACAAAAGAAAAGACGTACAACAAACATTAACAAGAGTGCAAACAAAAAAACAAAGAGAACAATATCAAATACGACAAGAAGAACAATTAAGAGTAATGATAGTGTGAACGAAATAACATTTCAAAAGAGCAAAAAAAAAAGAAATCAGAAAAGAGAATAGAACAGAAGAACAAAAAACAGAAAGAAAATATAAAAAACATAACAACTGAGACAGGACAAAAAAAAACTACATAGAACACATACAGAACAAACACAACAAAAAACGAAACAAAGAACAGAACAAACAGAAAACAAAACATACTCAGAGCAACACAAACACATCAAAACAAAGAAAACAAAAGAGAACACCTAAAGAAAACAACAACAGAACAAACATAAAAAACTCACAAACACAACAAAACAAAACAAAAACAAGACCATAAAGGAACAGAACAGACAAAAAACACAAACAAACAAAAAAACTACAGAAAAAAGCACACAAACACAAACAAGAAAACAACAACAGAAAAAAACACTCAAACAAACAACACAAACACAAACAAACGAGAACAAAACGAAAGCGAAGAGGCGAGCAGAGCAGAGACCTGGAAGTGGTCGAAGGCAGACTGGGGGCGCACGAAGCTCCTCTCACGGGCGAGGACGCGGCGGTCGCTCTGCCAGGCACAGACACAAGACAGGCAGCGTTAGGGCATCGCGGGCGGTTGGGCAAGCGTTTGGGGTGGGGGGGGGGGGGAGGTGGTGGTGGGGTTAGGTTTGTGGGTGTTGGTTTTCGTGTTTTTTTTTTTTTTTTTTTTTTAGGTAAGTGGGTATTGTTTTTTTTTTGGGAGGGAGGGGGTAAGGTAAGTGGGTATTGGTTTTTGGGATTTAAGGTAAATGGGTAAAGTTTTTTTTTATTTTTTTTTAAGGTAAGTGGCTACTGGCTGTTGGGATTTAAGGTAAGTAAATACTGTTTTTTTTTAGGTTAGTAGTTTCTTTTTAGGTAAGTGGACATGGAAGCGTTTGGGTAAATTAGGTAACTATGTATTGAAGCGTTTGGGGTCTGGATTCATTTTTTTTTTAGGTAAATAGGTTTTATTATTATTATTTTTTAGTTAAGTGGGCATCAAAGCGTTTGGGTATTTTAGGTAAATGGGTATTGAAGCGTTTGGCGAGTGTCTTCAGGAGGATTTTAGGTAAGGGAATACTGAAGCATTTGGGTACCGGCTTTGAGGATGTTAGGTAAGTGGGCATCGGCTTTGGGTTTTAGAATGGGCCTTTTGAGCACGTGGGATTTTTGGGCTTACAGGCAGGAAGGCTTCTGGGCATAGCTTGGGCATAAAGGCTTTATGGATTTTAGGATTTGGGCACAGAAACATTGATTTATTTGGGCATCTATATATATATTCATTTTTTTTATGATAGGACGTATTATTTGATAGACATAGATTGAAATAGATAGACAGTATATATACATATATATATATATATATATATATATATATATATATATATATATATATATATATATATATATATATATATATTATATATATATATATATATATATATATATATATATATATATATATTATATATATATATATATTCATATATGTATATATAGATATA